ATATAATTATCTTTGTTTTATACATACAAAAGTCATTAGAACTTATTTTCTTTGGAACATTTTTGAAAGCAACTTGAATCTGTCTTTCCATAACCAGGTCACTCATATTTGGCTCAAAATAAACTCCCTTTTTATTTTCCTTTAAAACAGAGTTGTTAATTTGTGTTAACCCAACATAGTCCTTGGAGGAACCAGGGAGAGGCAGGCTTGCCTGCTCTAGTGCCCCTCCTACCAAGGGATTCCCAGAGCAAAGTGCAGAAGGAGGCAAAGTCCTCTTGGGGCTGCTTGGGCATCCCAAGGCTATTTAAACTCTCTTTGCCTCCAGATTGATTGCTCTTATTGGAAAAAATTCATCTTTCCCATATTCTAGTCCTGTAGGGTTTCCCCTAGCCTAATATATGCTAAGTGTAAGTGACAAGGAATGTGTCTTCCTACTTATGTAAAACAACTAGACTTTAACAAAAAACCTCTGGAGATAATGTAACCCTAAGGAAAGCCCCTAAATGAGCAGTATTCCAACACTAAACATACTGTTGAAGAATAAGCATTTGAGGAGCATTTAGCTTTCAGTAATTCAGAAATTGTAAAATGTAAGCAGTTCTTTATTCTTCTTGACATGGGGTCTGACCTCAAGTCATATTCATCCTAGTAAGACCTGTCATCAGTTGCAAGTGAAAAGAAATAGGAGTGTGTCGATCTCATACACATTAACCTGAAGGGAGAAACAATCAAGTACAGAATTAATTTTGCTGTTCAGCCTGGGAGGGGAAAAGGGAATTAACATTTATTAAAACTTAACTATGGGCTTACCATGTTGCTGGGAACTTCATATTCACTACTGAATTAATCTCAAAAATAGCTGCCATCTTAAGACCACTTTTTGTGTCACATCCTGGACTGATTTTTAAATATATTACTCATTTGAAAAAATGCAAATTAAAACAACACTGAGATTCCATCTCACTTCAGAAGTTACCACCCCAGAAATTCCATCTCACCCCAGTTATTATCAAGAAATCAAGCAATAAGAAATGCTAGCATGGCTGTGGGGAAAAAGGAACTCTTCTCCACTGCTGGTGGGAGTATAGACTGGTGCAACCTCTGTGGAAATCAGTGTGGAGATTCCTCAGAAAAACTGATTGGAGGTCCCATTTGACTCGGCTATTCCCCTTCTGGGTATCTTCCTAGAAAATTAAAAACATACCACAGCAATACATGTGCACCCATGTTTATTGCAGCACAATCTGCAACAGATAAATCCTGGAAATAACCCAATACCCATCAACTGAGGAATGGATAAAAAAGATGTGGTCTTTTTGTATAATGGCGTACTACTCAAGTATAAAGAAAGATAAACTGGAGACTTTTATGGGTAAATGGATGCAACTCAAGACCATACTCATAAGTGAAATAAACCAGATGCACATGTCCAAACGTCATATTTTCCTCCCTAATGTAAGAAAGCTGAAAGAGTAAATAAAATACAAAATGTACAATAGATATTGTAAAATAGGAAGAAACTGTTCAAAAGGAAAGAGAAACTGGGATGTGGGAATGGAGAAAAGAAGAAAGGGAAAAGAAAAAAAAATTGCATATATATATATATATATATGGCGGTTAAGACAGTTATACTATTAATTTCCCTTAGTTCACTGAAAAGAAAGGTTTGTGCTAATATTAATAGACAATTAAATGCCTATATCTTGTACTCTGAGTAACTAATTTAGAGATAATAATATGCAATGTATTAGCCATTGTTATCCTCCTATTATCTTGTTTTGAAAGTTTTATTTTTTTGTCTTTGAAATTAAAAAAAATAAATAAATATATTACTCAATTGAATCCTCATAGCAATCCTATAAATAAGTATTATTATCTCCTATTTTACCAGCTAAAAGTAAAGTCAACTTGCCTGGTACTTCAGTCAAATAATTAATAGTGGAAGAGGAGTCAAACTCTGATCTAACGCCAACAGCAGCACTCTTCAAAGTGTGTTGAAAAATAGCTATTACTATCTCATTTCTCAGAAGAAGAAACTAAGACAGAGAAGTTAAGTAATTTGCTCTGTCACAGAGCCAATCAAAAAGGCACCTGTTTTACCTGACTATAAATCCAATATGTTCCCTACTTGCTAACACTTGGCAGACATTGAAGGAATGTTCTTTTCCCAAAAACCTCTATTTAAGTATATATATCATTCCAAAATTAAATAATGTGGGTGAAAATAAAAAATATGTACAGAAGGAATAAGAACCAGTCCTCAAAATAAAAACTGACCTCATTCTCTGGAATCTAATCTGTGGGAATAATACTACACTAATTTCCAAATGTATTTCTCTAAATTTTGACATCATTGCACTTCAACATATGAGGAGCAAGGACATGGTTTTTGAGGAAAGGTTCTAATCTTGGCAGTGGTTTATGTTTCTTATTCTGGTGAAGTAATGAAGGGTAGGAGCGTAGAGAACAGTAGTTCAGGTAGAGTCAGAGTAGATCCGAAATGCAAAACAATGTCTAGAGGCTTAATGCACAGTTTTCTATAGGAAGAGATTGAAAGGAGTGGGAGGGATCTGGAAAACTGTAGAAAGAATGACACTTGAGAGGGAGCTGGGGGAAGTCAGAAACAGATAAGAGAAACAAACAGGTTTCAATGCAGTTTATAACAGGGGTAGGAAAGCAAGAGCTTCACCTCCTCTCTAGAACTGTACCTAAGCGTCCCCCAGCTCCTTGACTCTCCCTGAAAGTTGCCTGGGGACTTTGCCCTGGCCTTCTGAGGCTGAGTTTGTGACCTCACTTCAGTGCCCCACACTATTACCATGGCTGGGAGCACCCTAGACCTGACTGATCCTCCTTGAGTTCACTACAGAGGTTCATGTGATGACTGCAAAGGGTGAGGGTAGTGGCTAGGGGAGAGAACATAGATTTGCGAGCCAGTACACTGGTTTTAAACCTTAGCTCTCTCTCTTAGGGTTTTTAAACTCATCAGTGCCTCAGTTTCCCTAGGTTTGGAGGAATAAATGCATGAATGTATGTGAAGCCATTTAGCATAATACCTGATACATGATAGACCCATGTCCTTCCACCTAGATTCTTTTACTGTAAGAAGATATAAATATTATACACTTTGGTCTGAAATGATGATGAACTGTTTCACTTTCTCCATAGGTTTTAGGTGAAAACAATAGCCCTCTTCTGAATGCATATCAAATTATTTTTAATATTTTCATGATACCAGAATTGTAAACTTTCAATCACAGGCTTAATTTTGAGAAACACCTGAAAATCACTCAACACCAAACATGGTGAATAAAGGGATAAGCCAAGTGTTTCTAGTTTAGCAATACAGATAGGAGGAAGAGAGGAAAAGGGAAAACAGAAACTGACTCACCTGATAAAAGTTAAGTCCAAAAGGAGGTTCTGAAAATCTTCATCATCAGCAGCAACTTGAAATAAAAATCTACTTTGAAAGGAACAAGCAGCCAAAATTAACTTGGAAATAAATGTGCCTTCATACTTTACTTTTTAAAAAAGGCAAGCAGTCATACCTTATAACCCTCTAGGGTGGAGGGCAGGGATCAGGTGGTATAAAATCTCCTATTCTCCCTATCAGAGAAATTGGAAGGTTATGGGGTCCCCTGGTGAGATCTTCCTTGCTGTCTCTCTATGTCTCTTAAAGTAAAATAAAGTGAAATGTATTGACCCCTATTGTTTTCTCTGGATTGTCAAGCCAACTTGACACAAATACACCAGTCTAAAAAACTGACATTAAAAGCATAGGATCCTAATGTGATACTGGGTGTTACTTATTCTCTCTGAACTTCCACTTCTTCTTTGGTTCACCTGTAAAATTGTAAAATTTGTGTTAGGTCTACTTTTAGTGTAATATATCCAGTGGTTCTTGCTGCTTCTGTTTCGATGAACTCAGTCCACTCACCTCTACAGGATCTTCTTGTACCTGTGAGAAGAGGACAATCTCATCTGGTTGGCACCACATTTACTGTGCTCATTCCTTAAAATTCATTCTCCTCATATTTCAGTACCATGCAGTCATATAGTTTGTAAAATTTGTCAAAGCAGATACACTTGCATATTTTTTCTTATACAGGGTTCCCCACATTTTTTAAGGGAGTAACTCTACAAACCCTGAATCTAGATATATGTCTTGCCAAGCCCACCAGTGTATGGAAAGTGGGCCAAAGCATCAAATGATCAAAAAAACAAAGTCCTGAAGGCAGTTGAAAAAGCAGCCACTTTCCAGTCTCTCCTCTTTTTTTAATCTCCCCATTTTGTTTTTCTTGTTAATTTTAGAGCAAAACATTGAGATCTTGAACAGCAAAATGGCTGTTCAAAGATCCCTGCACAAAATTCACAAGGTGCAGGGAAGTCAAAACATACACTGCTGATCTCCATCCTATGACTGAAGCCACCAAAACCCTTGAAGTATCCGGTGATAAACTTCACTAACAGAAAGTCACAAACTGGGTGGCACAACCAGTGCAAGTGGAGACAGACACCAGCTGCCATGCCTGGAAGGCAGGTTTTACACTCACAGCACATTTTCTACGTGATTTAAAATAGAGTAACTGCTGGCTGTGTTTCAGGCATGACATATTATTTTTACTCTCAATTACAGTAATAAAAATAGTAAAAACTGCTGTGGGAATAGAGAATGGGCTAGCATTTTCTTAACTGTGTTTTAAGACAGAGTCAGACTTCATAGAAATTAGCTGTGTGTGTGTGTGTGTGTGTGTGTGTGTGTGTGTGTGTTTCTACCCACTTGCCTTACACCTGTGTACCTTGCCTTTCTGAAAAATATCTTTACACCATGCTTTTGGCTTTCCTTTGAGGTTCAACCAGCTACCAATGTTCTACTTGAGCAGCAGAGGCTTCCCTAGACTCCCAGAATTCACACTTAGCTCCTCTTCTCCTGGGGGGACATTAGCCATAGAGCATTACATCCCAGAAGGAGAACATCTTCCACTGCCACATTATTACTAAATACCAATTCTGATTCCAGCTGTGCAGAAGCCAGGAGAACCATCCTTAGGGGATAAACTACACACAAACATATTTGTTCAACTTGTTGGGAATGTGATCTGTGATGTGATATTTCACAAGCCGCTTTTGCAATGGCCAGTCTGCTTCCTGAAACTGATACTGCTGGTGGTGTAGGCAGGAAATATAAATGAAGGAAATGTTTCTAAACCAACAATAAATGCAAAAGTATTAAACTTTACATTCCTTTGCCTTGGCAAATTATTCCTTCCCCCTGTCTTGCCCCATGTCATGCCTCTAGTTCCTTGCTCTTCCTCTAGCCATTGTCTTCTCTGGGGACAGTTATAGTTTTCAAATTCATTTAGCATTCACTCAAAAATGTGTATCAAATGATGACTTTTTGCCAACACTGTCTTGCTCTGGAGAGGGAGAAATTAAAAAGACACTGTCCCTGCTCTCATTGAGAATACAGTCTAGTGGGAATGGTACAGAAGACTGAGAATGTGATGCACTGTGGTAAGTGTTGAAATTGCAGTGCTGGTTGGTGGGACACTTGTGCTTCTTGTGCTTGAATCTATATATGTGCTTTTCATGGGACACCCAGGAGGAACTTCAGTGGGGTGCTTCTTCCCTCAGATTTGGCCAAAGGAGCTCAATAGGGATGAAATATTTCATTTGCAAAAAAATTCTATAGTTAATACCAATAACGAGTATCTTATGTTTTCATTTTCTATTGCTACCATAGTAATTCACCAGAAACCTGACAGTTTGAAAGAGTATTCATTTATTATCTCACAGTTCCACAGGTCAGATGACCAATGGGTTTTCTGTGTATTCTGCTGGGGATCTTACAGGGCCAAAATCAGAGTTGGCTGGTCTGTGGTCTTACAGAAGTTCTAGGGAAGAAGAAATGTTCTGGTTAGTTCATGATATTGACATAATTGATTTCCTTCTCATGGCTACTACATGGCCCACACTATCTTCAGTCCAGTAAAAGTTAAACTCTCTTTGACTTCTGTTTTCCTCTTATGACATCAAAGGCTCAAATGAGTAAATACGGTCTACTTGAGTATTCCAGAATAATTTCCCTTCTTTAGGTTCAACTGATTAGCAACTTTAGTTACATCTGCAAAGTAGCTTCATTACACACATTCATAACAATTGGACCAACACCAGGAGCAGAGATCCAGGGGAGCCAACATTCTGCCTACCTCAGTCTACCTCATGGCCCCTATGATTCATATCCAACCTACATGCAAAATACATTCAGCCCACCCCACAATTTCCAAAAGTTTTATCTCATTACAGCTGCTAAAACTCACCTAAATCTGATCTTTCCAGAAGTCCCAACTCTGATCAACATCTAAATTAGACACATATGAGGCTGTTGTGCTGTATTAAGCACAACTCCTGGTGATGACTCTCACTCTGGAACCAAGAAGACCAAGGAAACAGGCTATCTGCTTCCAACACACAAAGACAGAACCAGCATCAGACAATAGTCACACACATCCCCATTTTTAAAAAGGAAGCAGTAAAAGTAGAAAACATTCACAAGTCTACAATGATGTCAAAATCCAACCAGGCAGACACTGTTAGGTCTCAATGCCTGGAAACAATTCTTCCAGGCTCTCCACTCTGCCCTCTGAGTCATCACTTAAGCTGAAGTGGCACACTGTTCCAGGCAGTGGGCTAAGGCCTGACACACACTGACTCATTTCATCCTCCCAGCTACCCTAAGAAGAAGAGTCATTCCTCAGAATCTAGCAAGAATTAGCTCCAGGGTCCTACATGAAGTGGCAGAGTATATTTGTTTAAACCTATACACATTTTCCTAAATACATTAAATGGCCTCTACATTTCTTTTAATACCTAATTCAATGTAAATACTATGTAAACATTTGTAACAGTGTATTGTTTAGGAAATAATGACAAAAAAGTTCATTTTGAGTACAAGTTTTTTCTGAATGTATCTGCGGCTGGTTGACGCTACAGATACAGAAACCACCAATACAGAGGGCCAACTGATAACTGCTATTATTTATCCTCATTTTACACATGAGAACACTGGGGCACACATAGATTACATGTTTTTCCCAAGGTCATACCATTAGGCAGTAGATTCAAACCCAGGCAGTCTGGTTTTCCCAAGGTCATACCATCAGGCAGTGGATTCAAACCCAGGCAGTCTGGCTTCAGAACAGCTCTACTGCACTTCACTGCCCTGTAAAATCAGTAATAATTTTAATCCAAGAAAGTATGGAAACTATTTCTGGCTCCCCCTAAAACACTTTGTTGTTTTCTCTCAGATATGTGGATGTATTTGTATATCAATGTGTAGTGCCCACATGCTGTACAGAAAGATGAAAGAACACCTGACATCTCTGTAGTGGGACATGGAGGGAAGAGTAATAAGGAAGTCCTAAATCTTATATACTTGAATACAAAATGCTTTTCTAGAAACAATATGCAGCTTGCTTTTGTGTATGACTATTTTTCCAACCTCAAAATAATTTGTGTCTTATTCTAAGAAAAGATGCTAACTATTCATCTCCATAAAAACAATTATTTTTCAGTTAGCCTTTAGTTTGAGCTCCTGATGGAGAAGCACACTTCTTTAATAACTCCTCACACAGCAGTAAGAGCACACTGTAGTTAGATGAGATGGCTCAGGGGTTGGACTACTGGTTTAACAAATGGTCCCATCTCTTCACATCCCATTAACCCTGAGTTGCTTACTGCACATGTCTGAGATACTCTTGTAAAATAGGGAAAATAGTATGACCTGCTTCACAGAGACTGTGTGATAACTAAATGTATATAAGCTCTGTATGCCGGCCTCCAGTGAGCCTTCAGTAAGCCTTAATTAACATTTTTGTTTAAAATCTTTTTCCCTGATTTTACTTTGTATCTTTTGTGATTCCTCTCAAGTGAAATTCCATACACCATGGATACAATTCTATAAATGAAAGAATTATTTAATTTTATTATATTTTATTGCTTCAAATAAGGATGTGTTAGAAATTTCCATTCTGAAAATATATTCATACTTTATCACCCATTCTAATATTGACCTGAACTAGAACAGAAGGAGTTCTTCTTAGGTTTTATATATTCATTTTCAGACAAACGCAGTTTCCTCTTGGGTTTTCAGTAATAATTTATGGAGACGCTGTGTCTTGTAAACCTCTTTCTTTTGTGTAGGTGTCATGTTAAGTTTTCCCAATATTTTGTCTATAGAAATTTTGTTCCAAACATGGATAATTGGGGCTGGGGATTTAGCTCAGCGGCACATGCCTGTCTGGCAAGCGCAAGGTTGTGAGTTCAATTCCCGGTACCAGAAAAAAACAAAAAAAAAACAAACAAAACCTGGATGGTTAACACTCACACAGTGAATAACATGAATTCTGCAGAAGTTCAGTTGTGCAAATGAAGTCTGTGTCAGAAACTGAAAAGCTCTTCATTGCACAACTCATCCATGAGGACAGCTACTGCTCCAAATGACAAGCACTGTCAAGGATACGGAGGAGTTGAACACCTTGTAAAATGTTGGTACTGCTGTGGAAAACACTTAGAATTATTATATAATCCAACAATCAAATTTCTGGGTATGAATACCCACAAGAATTGAAAGCAGCATCTCTTAGGGATATTTGCACACCTATGTGCACACTAGCATTATATATAGCAGCCCAAAGATGGAAGTAACTCAAAGATTTCTCAGTAATGAATGGATAAGCAAATGTGGTATATACATACAATGGTATACTTTGAGGCCTGAAAAATACCCTGTCTCCTATCACCTACTACAACTTGGATGAATCTTGAGAATATTGTACATGCTAAATGAAATAAGGCAGCCAAAAAGAAAGATAACAAATAATTTTCCTTATATAAGATCCCTAGAATAGGCAGTCTCCAACAAACTCATATGAACGAAAAGTGGGAGTTGAGTATCAGGGATTGAGCTAAAGGGAAAAAGCAGCTGTGATACATGGAAAAGTCCTAGATATTTATTTTACAAGGTAAACTACTTAGTACTACAGAGCTACATGCTTAAAAATGGATACATAGTAAATTTTATGCTGTGTGTTTTTATCACAATAATAAAAGTCATTGAATGTACAATGCTAAGAGTGAATTCTAATGTGAACTATGGACTTTGGGCGATAGTGATTTGTCATTATATGTTAGCTGATTGTAAAAAAAATGTGCCTCTTAGATGCTGTCTTTATATGTCACAGTGGGAAGATTATATGCATAGAATACAGAAGACATGCTCTTGTACTCTCTGATCAATTTTGTTATGAAGTCTAAAAAACAGAATTTGTGTTTAATGTTCTGAATTGTAGACTATGCCAATATTATAAACAACCAACAATACCTTCAAGAAAGATTGTGCCATGGGAAAGGACGTCAGTGGATAGCCTCAAAGGCATCATCAGTGTGTAGTAGCACAAGCTGTAACCTGTGGTCAACTCTTATTTCCTTGTGAAATTACTTCTTTGAGATGGGCACCACTCCCTGCTTCTTCATTTGTAACACAAGTGACCAGCACATCAAGTGACCACCAAGACCTATTTGACCAATACGTAATTTTTAAGGATATGCATGTAGGTCTCTTATGTGATTTTCATTGAGTAAAAAGTTATAAAGTGATGGTTTAAATTGGGAATTGTGTGATTCATGGTAATGTAATGTTTCCCAGATTTCTCATTTAGAAATGTAACAAAAATGACTGTTTCAATGAATTACCATTAGGCTACATATAACTTAAATTTTCATATAAAAGACCTAAGTGCAACTCACCTTTTAAAATTATGTAGAGCTAAAACACAAGTCTTAACAAGTTTAAAATGATCAAACTTATATAAGGTATATTTCAGATCACACAGGCATAGAAGTAGAAATGAGTAGCCAGAAGAATACTAGACAATCCAAAAATATGTGGAAATTAAACAATACTCCACTAACCAGTATGAAACAATCACAACAAAAATCAGAAAATACATGAGACCAGAAAACAACTTTTTTGATCCAGTACAACTTATAGGTAAAATGCATGTGATTTTAAAAAAAAATCTCAAATTAGCCTAATTTTACAACCCAAGGATACAGAAAACAAAGACAAAACTAAATCTGTTAGTAAGAAGAAAGAAATAATACAGATGAGAGCAAAGATTAATGAACAAAAGAATGGAAAATAGAAAACCTTAATAAAATTGAGGTTTTTAAAAAATCAACAAAATTGTTTCTTCAACAAATAGTGTTGGGGAAATTGACATAGCATTATCATAAACCATACACAAAAGTTAACAAAATGAATTAAAGGACTAAATGTAAAACTTAAAATATAAAACTTGAAAGAAAATGGGAGACTTGTTCATGGTACTGGATTTGGGGATGATTTATTTAATGTGACACTAAATTCCAAGCAATGAAAGCAAAAACACATAAATGGAGCAGCATTAAACTTAACTTTTGATCATCAGAGGACATAATCAGCAAGGTAAAAGGCAATTTATAGGATGGGAGAAATTATGTCTTAATCATATATCTGATTAGAGGTTGATAGCCTGGATAAACAAAGAGCCTCTACACACTCAGTGTGGTGGGACATCCCTATAATCTCAGGAGGCCAAGACAGGAAGATTGCAGGTTTGTACCCAGCCTGGACAACTCATCAAAATCCTGTCTAAAAATAATTTTCTTGGGGGGCTGGGGATTTAGCTCAGTGGCACAGTGCCTGCCTGGCAAGCACAAGGTCATGAGTTCAATTCCTGATACTAGGAAAAAACCTTATTATTATTATTATTCTTTTTAAAAAGCCTGGCAATTTCACTCATCACGTTCAGTCCCCAGTACCATACAGAAAGAAATTAAATACAATTAATACATGATACTTAAGTGACCCAGAAGCACGTATAAAAGATGATCAATATCAATAATTATTAAGAAACACAGATTAAAACCACAGTGAAGCAAGACATAGTGACACATGCCGGTAATCCCAACACTCAAGGATGCTTAGGCAGGAGGATCACAAGTTGAAATCTAGTCTGGGCAAATTTGTAAGAACTCTGTCTCAAAATGAAAAATTTTAAAAGGCTGTGAATAAAGCCCATTGTCAATACTCAGTGCCATAAAAACAAAACAAAAACAAATCATCTCTTATCTATTTAGTACTATTTTCAAAATTTACCAAAAAGATTTAGCTACACAATTTATTAACTATTGTTATTCTCCTATTATTTTATTTTGAAATTTTGTTTTATTTTTCCATAAAATAAAAAATTTGCCAACAAATAACAAATAATAACAATGACATGGAAAAATTGAAACACTTATACACTGTTAATAGAATTATAAACTAATGCAGCTGCGATGAAATACAGTATGGTAGTTTCTCAAAAAATTAAAAATAGAGCTACCATATAACCCAGTAAACCCCCTTCCAGTTATATGTGTTCAAGACAATTGAAGGCAGCATCTCTTGAGATATATTTTCATTAACTGTTCCTTTCAGTAAACCATTAGACAACAGTATTACAATTATCCCAGCTATCCTTCTATATACATACACACACAGACACACACAGGCACACACAGAGCCTACATATACATTCCCTTCCTTCTTTCTTTTTCTCTTGTCCCCTATCCCAGTTGTTCATTCTTTTGAGCAATTTCTTTCCCTTTCATAATATCTATTGCATGCTTTGGGTTTTATTTACTCCAGCATTTGTAATTGGTTGATTTCCTGATGATAGCTATTCTTTTTGGGGTGAGATGGAATCTCAATGTTGTTCTAATTTACATTTCTAGAATGACCAGTGATGTTGACCATTTTTTTTATATATTTATTTGCTATTTGCATTTCTTCATATTCATTCAGATGCCCATTTCTGGATTGGGTCTTTGAATTTAGGAGGCTTGATTCATTTTATCTTGAGATATATTTTCCCATTCATGTTCACAGCAGCACTATTCACAATAGCCGAGAAGTGGAAGCAATCCCAATATTCACTGATGGATAAATGGATAAACAAAATGTGGTCTATATACACAATGGAATGCTATACATCCTTAAAATTGAAGGAAGTCTTGTCACATACTACAACATGAATAGATCTTAAAGACATTTTGCTGAGTGAAATAAGTCAATCACAAATGTATAAATATTTTCTGATTCCACTACAATGAGGTATCAGAGTAGTAACATTCACAAATATAGGGAATAGAGTTCATGAACAAAAAATCAAACTCTACGGGAAATACTTCAGAGAATCAACAACTGGGATTTCATCTTATTGAAAAGCTTTTGCACATCTAAAGAAATCACCAAGAAAGTAAAAGGCAAATCCACAACGTGGGAAAAAATTTTAGCCAACTACCCCTCAGACAAAGGACTTATATCTAGGTCATATAAAGAGTTTTTAAGGTCTTCTATGCACAGTATCATGTCATCTGTGAATAGTGACATTTTCACTTCTTCCTTTCCTATTCTTATTCCTTTTATTCCTCTCTCTTGTCTAATTGCTCTAGCCAATATTTCCAGAACTATATTAAATAGGAGTGGTGACAGTGGACATCCTTGTCTTGTTCCTGATTTTAAGTGAAAACTTTCAATTTCTGACCATTTACTATGATGTTAGGTGTTGGTTTATCATAGATGGCTTTGATCGGCTTGAGGTAAAGGCCATCTATTCCTATTTTCTGTAGGGTTTTCAACATGAATGAGTGTTGGACTTTATCGAAGGCTTTTTCTGCATCGATGGAGACGATCATGTGATTTTTGTTCTTGGCTCTACTGACATGGTGTATTACGCTGATCAATTTGTGTATATTGAACCATCCCTGCATTCCTGGTATGAATCCCACTTGGTCGTGGTGTACAATCTTCTTGATGACTTGTTGTATTCTGTTTGCTAGTATTTTATTGAGAATTTCTGCATCTATATTCATTAGGGAGATTGGTCTGTAGTTCTCTTTCTTGGTTGGGTCTTTCTCTGGTTGTGGTATCAGAATAATACTTGCCTCCAGGAATGAGTTGGGGAAAATTCCTTCCCTTTCAATTTCATTAAAGAGTTTGAGAAGAACTGATGTAAAATCGTCCCTAAATTGCTTGTAGAATTCAGATGTGAATCCATCAGGACCCAGGCTTTTCTTCATTGGCAAGTTTTTAATTACATTTTCAATTTCCCTGGCTGATATTGAGTTATTCAGGACTTTTATATCTTCTTCATTCAGCTTTGGAAATTCATATGTATCTAGAAATCTGTCCATTTCCTATGTGTTTTCCATCCTATGAGATTAAAGATTTTCAAAGTAGGTGCTGATGATCTTCTGAATTTCTTCAGAATCTGTTGCGATTTCACTCCTTTCATTCCTTACTGCATGTATTTCAGGATTTTTTTTCCTTTTTTTTTTTTTTTTTTTTGATAAGGTTGGCTAGGGGTTTCTATTTTGTTTATACTTTCAAAGAACCAACTGGTTGATTCATTAATTGTTTGAATTTTTTTTAGTCTCCATTGTGTTAATTTCTGCTCTGAGCTTTATAATTTCTGGCCTTCTTTGGGCTCTGGGCTTGACTTGTTCTTCTTTTTCTAGGAACTTGAGGTGCAGCATCAGATTGTTTATTTGTGCTTGTTCTGTTTTCCTGAGGTGGGAGTTCACCGTTATAAATATCCCTCTGAGGACTGCTTTCAGTGCAACACACAGGTTCCTGAAGATTGTATCTCCATTTTCTTTTGTTTGTAAATAGTGTTTGATCTCTACTTTGATTTCATTTGTGACCCATTGTTTGTTCAGGAGGGTGTTATTTAATTTCCAACTGTTTATGCAGTTTCTGTGTTTTCTTTTGTCATTAATTTCCAATTTCCTTGCCCC